ACATATGTTATCCAACCACATCCCGTGTATATACTTCTAGATATTATTTGGAAGAAATTTAGGCTTGGGTTCCACGCCGGTGGCATCCGTTTTAAATCGGGTTCCCGTAAAAAAATCCACTCACGATACCTGTGTACTTCTCAATTCCTCCGCTTCCAATTCCAATTCCTGTCAGTTGTTGAACATAATCGATCAATTCTATCAAAATTAGAGGAAGGAATATGCATTTCATTGCTATACATGGGCACCTTTTGCAGTGCGCCCCTTCCGATGCCAAACTTAAACCTTTCACTGAATACAATAATAAACATTTTCTTGGCGGAGTAAAGTAAAGGGAAATGAACCCCATTCATCCCAAACTAATCCAGTGACTTTAATTGGTTTAATTAGTGTAATTTCTATGGTAGCAATTCATGTATCCCCTTGTCTGCCTAAAACTTACGTTACATAGACTTCCCTTCCAAAACGAATTTACAGAGAAAATTGCTGTTTTCAAAGAAAAATGCATTCAACATTTAGTGTGTACTATTCGTCATCTTCTTTTCTGTGTGTGCTACGAGCGGAATTTGATATACATGTACATTTATACAAGAAATTATCTCTTCGCTCTAAATATGAGTTAATTAAATATACATTTTATTATAAACGAATTTCTGAGTGTTCTTGGAATGTATCTGTTCAAAATTCACAACTAAACCTAATACTTCAATTTTGAAAACAAATCGGGGTGCCACGCCCAAAATTAACTCGGACAGTGATTTCAAATTAAAAAAACACTGGTTTATTTGATTGATTCATTTCATCCTTATGGGGCTACAGTCAACAGTATGTAACTGCATAAGTAGGGACCAAACGATTGTCGGTTGCGTGGAATTGCTTAACTGGTTTCAGTGCTGTTATATGTATGTTAATTAGCACATTCAAATGAATTTGAATGAAGTCAGTCAGTCTGCCTATAGCTGAGTCCCTACCTGCTGCCCGACTCCCGCTGTTTGAGCGGTAACTTGTTGGTTACGAGGATTGCAGAGAGCTGACGGAGGTCCAAACCGACAAGGTCAAGACGTGGGTATATACAAACGGATGAGTTCGGTTAAGGTTAAATAATTAACAGTGGCCAAACATTTCGCGAATTCCACCTTGAGTATAGGCTAAACATCTTGAGATAATTACCAGTGTTCTAGCAACCAATCCCCGAGACGTCTCCGTGAAGAAGGTACATATACATGTAGTTAGAAACCTTACTTTACAATATAAGATCCCCACGAATTAATTCATCTTCGCAATTTCTCTTAAAATTTACATGCATTTACCATGGTGCGGAACGATCACGACAATATGTACTCAAGGCAAGGGGCCAATATTAACTGCATACCTCTTTTTTACCAAATGGAAATATCGTAGCGGTACATAACGAGGTTTATTTTCGGATGTTCCCCGTTCTTTGAAGTTTCCATGAACAAGCCAACACTGCGTGGAAGTTGTTCCTGTGACATTCCAACCTCCGAGACAAACTGTTTCCTGAGTGACTAGTTAATTGAACCAGCAGTTATTCCGGATGGATGTGGTCATGGATGGAACAAACTGAAGTCAGCAGCGGTCATCCAACAATATTACGTGAATCTGGTTATTTTTTCTTTACTGTGCTATAGTGAGTATATCGCGATTTTTAAAGTGGGCACAAATCACCGAAACTTAATTTTCACTTTAGTACTTCGTGAGGCATGTCCGTAAGGCGTAGCGCGTCATTTTTGCTGACAGCAATCCACATCAATTAAGCGGTACAGTCATACGTTTTCATCTAAAGATTTAGTTGCCATGGGGCTTGGGGTGCAAGGGGTGCTTACCCTCTGAATAAAAATAGAAAAAGGATGCAAGTTGCCAACAGGCCGATTGTGCTCGCTAAGTCACGAGACCTATTGTGGGTAGCCTATTACCTATCAACAAACACGGGTGTCCACCACAAGTAAGGAGTTTCATAAGTTTCATTTATCAAAAAGCCGACGGTAGGTACCGTACCCAGACTACTGATGTGCTGGGTAATATATCGTAAATCGGCTCAAAACACACGTTGGTATGGGATTGATACCCACTATAGGTCACGTGATTTAGTGGACGCAATCGGTTTTTTAGTGTAAAACTACTTGATAGTCCGTCAGTTCGCTGCGGCTGATAACTATTCCTCTATGCAGGAGATTATGTGTCCCCTTTCTGGCCACCACGGGCGCAAATTTCGGGGGATGGAGGTATATAACCCCTTCTACTTCTTGAGGTGGAGGCTAGCAAAAGAGCAAAGAGCGGATTGTAAAGAATTTTCAGGTTTTCCCAACGACTAAAATGTTTGCAGTATCATTAAAAAGGGAAAGCAGTTTCAAAAAGCCATAAATATGCCATTTTGGTGTAAGATTTTGCATGAATTTGATACACAATACAGATGTACATCTTTATCATAAACATCACACCTAATAAAGTGTAAATGTGTCTGGTGCCCCCCCCTTCAAATTTCCATGGCAAGTCACCCCCCCATAAGATCTCTACACAAGCTGACCTCAATGTCACCACGCCACACGACATCGTCGTGTCACACAACATAACAATGAGACAGGTCATTGAAGAATGTGAAGATCTCGACGCTCCCCCCAAAAGGGAAAACCTCCGGAATGCTTCCCAGAATATTCCCCGACATCATTGCTCGCCCCCACAAATGGTTAGGGTAACCTGAAAGTGTGCACAGTGGCAACCGCAGGTTGAGTACCGTTTCCATAGTAACACAATAGTTACTTTTCTAATTAGGTCCATAAAAGGACCAGGAATTTGTCTGGCTCTGAAATAATGCTTACAACAGTCTTTGATAGTACAGCAATTTTTTCAGTATGTCAGAATGGGTAATGGATCGATATTTTCACAGTCTCTTGTTTTGTCAAAGATGTGCACGCTATGACATCCCTGCTGTACATCCTCCAGGGTAGAGAACAGACGTGAAAAACATAGAACAAACAGACTTGCATTTTTAAGTGAAAGGGTAGGTTTATGCTTTTAAACAACTGAAGTGGGGAGGCAAATGAGAAGTGTAAACGCAGAGGTGACAGGATGTCCTCGAGTGCAGTGTATCTGAAACCGAAAACCGGCCCATTTCAAATATAATGTGAAGTCAAGATCATAATTACCCAGTTCACATCAGCTCACAGTCTAGTTCGCAGGGGCGAACAAACTGAGCGAGGGGAAATTTCAGAGTACTGAACTTGAGACGTCAGCCAGATATTATCGCACCAAATAATGCGTCTGGAGTTTACGGCAGAAATGGCACCATCGACACCAGGACAAACAGGCGCCCTACCGGGCTGCTTTAACCCATGGTCCCGTGGTTAACCTATGTCCCCTCAAGGCCCCTCAAACTACTGCAGTTAGAGTTTGCGTAGCAAAAACAACCGGTGCCTTCCTCCAAGGACAACTCGAGTTGCTTGAGATCGTAGGGTCAGAAACAGACTTGAAGGTCCACCGGTCATTTTGGCCTTTGAGACAGATTCTGCCTCTTTTGGGATCGATACAATACACATCTTCCGAGTTGCTATCATTTTTGGTCAATCCAGTCGAAAGCATTTTGCAGCAGACTAATACTTCCGTATCGGACAATACGTCTATGAATATCAGATGGAGATCCATTTAACGCATATTTATGTTCCCTATCGGAGGTGACGGAGAGAACTCCCCGGAAGACAATGACTGTTTTTGTAAAGGAGGAATTGAACTTGAAACCTGGTATTTTCAGATAAACAGAGATTTTTGTTTTCTTGCCGGCATATTTGTGGAGGTGGAGATCAACAATAAATTACCATCATGTTAACCGTTTCAGCCCACATAAAATAAATTTCATGATCATCGTTAAAAAAAATATTCGGTGTCCATCAAAGCCGATTTGATAACATGATAAGTCATGTCCTAAGCATCGGCGTGCTGTCTCTCCCCGAGCGTTGGTGAGATGGGGAAAGGGGAATCAATTAAACCAGCAAAGACCAACATTGAGATTGTCCAACCATACGAACAAAATGTCCAATTCAGGTCGATTGACGCGTACTAGGGACACGGCTGACTGTCAACACAACATTTAATTGTGACTATGCAGTGGACACTTCGTGTATATTAATAATAGCCTTTCCAGTGTTAACTCAATAAAGTGTTGTGTCGTAAATTTTACACAAACATGTTTTGTGACAAACAGATTCATCTGCTACATCAATGGCAAATTTTGTTTGTTACATCCACTGTCTATGTTATCTGTAGCAGTGTCTTTTCAGGCAGCACATCCTGCCTAGTCTTTGCATTATAAGGACCCAAAGTGAAGCTCACGAAAACCGATTACGTATTGCAGTGTAAAGAATTTTAAGTTTTGTATCAACTGTTTTTCATTAAACAGTACCGGTAGGCTTTAAAAAAAGTTAATCGGGTGACAGTTGAAAATAAAAACTATTGTACAACAACAAAAAAGAGTGAGGAATCGACACATCAAATAAATTCCTGTTTGCACGAAAAAGCATGCTTGTCTTAAACCAATTTATTTACCGGTACATGTATTTAACGGTAGAAACGGAAATGCATTTGAAATGGAAACGATGTTAATTTCTTCCAAGGGGGCATCACCAGGCCCACTCATTCCCTTTAAGACACTGACAAAAGATTTTTGTCCCACATCATATGCACATCGTTATCTTTGCTATGAAACCGTCATCTTGTCCTCCCTTCATATGGTATCAATGTTCACATTTATCAAGGTATGATGCGGTCACTGCAATGCTATGCCCGCAACACCCGTGCATTCCTCATCGATATGGTAATCCACGCGTACGCGCATACATCAAGCCCTTGGACGAATGCATACATGTACATGTATGTAGCGTACGTGTATAATGTAACTGCACGGCCACCCAATCACCCTCAATTTTCCCGTTTTCGAAATGAAATTTTACTCAATAAAAATGCACAACGGTTAGAAGGGTTGTACTTACCACAAGAACCAAGCGGAGAAAAAACTTGCAGGAACTTACGTTGCCGAAGTGAGGTGTTCCGTGGGTTAGTTGTAAAATGAGCAACGGTTTAGTTCAGCGGGGTTTTGGAGTTGTTGCACGCTCGCTGGCGAGTGGACGTGCTCCAGAAGAGAAAGAGGGAACGCCTCCAATGCTACAACCTTCTGGTTGGGGAGACCACAAGCTGAGGGATCTGACAGCTAGGACGAGGGGGAAAAAAAGCTCGGAATTCCACGGTCGTTCGTGTCGTCTTACAAATTTGCTGCGGAGTAGATGCTACCTGGACTGGTACCGATAAAACTCGAGGACAGACGGGGTAGCGAGGACTTTTTGTTCAGATGGGGGAAGACCGCGAGGGGAAACTGGGCATCGAGTTCGTGGGCTGTGGTGTCAAAAGGCAGAACCTTGTTCACGGAAACTCAGTCATATGAACACACGAATACATTGCTCTTGGGTAATGCCAAAAGGAATTCCGCAATCCACAAAGCAAATAAACTTGAAAAACACGCGATTCAAGGTCATTCACCTGGGTACAAGTTCTGGTTTATCGTCTTGAATCTGTAGCCATTAAGTGAATTGAACCTTGATTGAACAAACATACCATAAGGATAAGGAAATCTCTAAATCGGACGTTCTTCCAAAACAGTCAATAGGACAGCAAAAAGAAACTTTCAGAATGCTATTTCTGGGGTGGGGGGGTTGGAGATCTTTGTCTAGTATCAACATCGAAGTTTAGTTATTTGTTCATTGTTCCTGAAAACAGTCCTTGAAGTCCGTAGTACTGGTCTCCCACCATGAGATTAGAGTTGCACTAACTTACTGATATAGCTTGTCTGCTAACCGTACACACGACTGTGGGGCAGTTTGGGGGAGGGGCTTTCTCCCGGCCCTAAGATTTAAGAAAGCAAAAAGAGAATTCGAAAGGGGACTCAAATGAAAAGCAGGAACCTTAATGATAACGGAGAATTTGTAGAGGAGACTTAATGAAATGTGAAGATCACATGTATTTCCATTGTACGTATAAAGGTCAGCTATAATAGCCACTGTTGAGGAGACCAGTGAAGTTTTTCACCAAGGCTAGCCCTTTTCATTCTAGAACTTTCATTCCGAAACTGAATGGATCTTTTTATATTGGTCAAACTCCTAAAAATCAGTAAAGCCAAACTGGTTTTGATAGCTCTGTCCCTGACAGAAACTCAGGATTGTGAGAAATATTTGTCCCTTGCACGTTTTAAAACCAAGTTCAATGTATCTCTTTAGCCCTTTGTCTTTTTATCCAACAGGGAAATACTTCAGCTTCATAGACTATCCTTTCGTACCCTTTAAACTTTTTCACTGTGATGTAATGAGAGATTCTTTTCCCCCTTTTGAGCCTCCCTTCAGAGGCGGATCTAGAGCGGGGTGGGAGGTTGCACCCCCCTTCAGCCGCGGACTAAATGGAACGCCTAGTGAAATGACGGGAAAAGAGTACCACAAAAAAAACCTGGCGAGGATTGCGCCGTCCATCTATCCATCTATAGTTAGATTTTCTTTTCATCAGGGAACGATGCGTGATGCTTTCGGACCCCCTTAGCAGGACATCCCTTCAGTACGCTCATCAGCCCCCCCCCGTCCTGAAAGCTAGTTCCTGCCCTTTACCCTCCACTCTTTTAAAAAGTTTGTCGCGAGCTTTGCACTCCATCCACCGCAGCATCACGAAATCGCTGCATTTCACTGTATTTCTTGTCTGGTACCTCAAATTTTGTTACAAAGGGAACAGCAATGGGAAAAGAATTCTCCAAAAGGGTCACGTATAACCAAATCAAGAGTGGCAATTTCAAGTTTTGCAACTTTTGCAGGTCGAAGTGACAGTGATTGTGATGGACGAAATGAACAGATGTGTGTCAGTTAAAGTAGCCGTTGACAATCAGGGAGCTATTTCCAGAATTTGCATGCCTGTCACCCGAAATGTCATCATGCCAATAGATTCACTGTACCGTTCAGGGTAGTCCCAGCGGTCTTGAGGAGGCGTGACACCTTCATCTTTTTTGTTAGGACCAAAGCCAAGCTTTCATTTTTTTTACTACAGGCAAGCTTAACAGGGTTTACCGGGCGAGGGGCCAGTTTTTTCTTTAACTCTCGATGTATATTCTTTACTGTCTCTAGCAATGTAAAAATATACACCATAGGCCTAAAAGGAAAGAAAATTGGTTATTTTATGACAATATTTATGCCTTTAAATAGTATAAAAATGAGGAGTAACCTTGTAGATTTACATCAATTCCTTGAAGAACACTTTCGTTACAATTTGAAATGAGCATGCCCATTTCCCGACACACCGTTATGGCAAATAACCTTGAGTAGAGGGGTCTTTGGCACAAGTCAGCTTGGAATCCAACATACCCTATGGTTCATCCAAAATAATACTTTGCCGAAGGTGGCTCACAGAAACATGAAAAGGAAAACCGTACAGCCGCCCCCGAAATGCTGGCAGATTTTGCCCTATTAGTTGAATCAGTTTTTAACATTCACAAGGCCCTGAAAGAATGACACCAAGCTGGAATTTTGGACTAAATGTACGTGAACATTAACTCTGGCTCGAGTCATTATTTTTTACCCGCCTGTCCACGCAGGTCACTTTGCGGTTGCTTAAATTTATTTGCTGTGCTCCTTTCGGAGTAACAAACACTCTTGACGTCTTCATGTTACGAGTTCAAACAATTCATGTTCAGCTCACTGTTTCCTGACTGGTGGCGGAGTTAGGATGTTGAATTATACACGCCCCTCCCTCGGCCCCCCAAACACCAAACCCAAAATTATGATGAAAATGAACCACACAAAATGGAAGTGGTCGATATCCATATAATCTGGGCCAGGTAATGTGATTTCGGGAACAGGAATAAACAACATGTTTTTATCGCTTCTCGTTGGCGGATGTCGGGGCTGTTATTTCGGTTCCACGGTTCATCAGGTTCACACGGGATGTGATAAGACCGTGAGTGGGCGGCGGAAGTAGCTTGAACGATGAAGACCACGAGATGGCGCCATTTAGATATGACATTACTCTTTTGTGGGTTACAGTAGTCGAATACACATTACATTATAGGCCTAGATACATGTACATGTACATTACATAATATATTATGTATTGCCAAACACAGGTTTCATTCCCATTATTTCCTCGTGTTATGTTTGTCTGCTCACTTCTCAACCCTTGAAATTATACTGACAAATCTTACGAAGAAAACATCTGAGCAATTTTATCTTCGTCAGTCTTCGGTCCCGACAGTTCGTACTCAATCGCTTGCCTTCACGTCATACAAACATAGCAAGCTGGCACTTTAAAGTTGTTTTACTTGATATACATTGACTACATGTATAGTGACCATTTTTCTACATCTCTTCATGGCCCTCTCTTCTTTGATACTTTCTAATTATCTCCGAGTTTTTCCTATTTCCTTAATTTGTCATATCAAAACATTCTTCTTCTCACAAGCTTTTTCACTATGAATGCACAATTGAGTTTTTCATTTTTCCACCTAGACCAGCGCCTCTGAATGCTTCGCAGATATAGTGCGCCTTATAAATGCTTTATTATTATTATTATTTGTATGATTCATGTTTTTACTTTCTGAAGTATGTTTTGTGTTTTTCTGATCAATAACTTAGAAAGAAAAAAAATAGCCAGCTGGCTGCGATACAGACCTCTGTTTGCTATTATAGAGCAGCACATAGGCTAATGCACCAGGCTGTGGCGCTTAAAAGTACCTCTACAGATTCTTTCGAAAAGAGGGGTCTGTGTGGGCCAAGAAATGGTGGGATTGTGTCAGTATGCCTCAGGATCATCTCTGTAGATTCAGGGGCACCCATCTGGGGTCAAAGCAGACAAAAAATGTGATTGAAAATTTGTCAGAAGAACCCGAGAAACGTGAGGGATGTCATTTGAAAAATGGCTGCTGAGAAGACTTGGGAACATTCACTTGGGGGGGGTGAGTTTGTTTTGGTGGATAATTTAAAAATTCATTGGTTGACCTACTAAAAATAAAAAATCAAATGAAATCCGAAGGACCAAACAATACATTGTTATTTGTTGGAAAGGCCTCAGGTACTTCATTTTTTGCCTGCCATGGGGCTCCAAACTGGGTTGATTTTACACTGTTTTCAATGGAGCTTGAATTAGTTCAGTGCACCCCTCAGGCTAAAGTGACATCGTGGCAAGAGCGCCCTCGGTTGACAGGTCATATCATTTTAATATTCAATCCCCAAAGGGATGTCATTTTTTCTGTATGTAGTTCAGAAATAGGCCAATAAATTATTTTCATGTGAAAATTTCACATCATGACATCTCTAAGTAAATCATCTAATTAAACTCCCCCGCTACTATGCCCTGAAGCTTTCTTTCGCCATAGATGTAAATCAGTATACCGTTGCCACTTCTTGATAGTCAAACGCAGTAGCTTAATCTTTAAAAACGATAAGGCGAGCTCTCTTCTCATTACAAAGTAATTGCCCGTTGAAGTTACTGGCGCTAGTAAATCGTGTCTTTTGCTTGTCACCCACGGGCAGATCTAACTGATGATGTCAAAGTGATGATGGAGTGATCCGCGCCGAATGAAAGTCATAAACGAAAGGTTTTTAAAAGTGACTTTTTCACGTCGTAAACAAGATGTAGCTAAGACCCAAGATAAACACGTTCAACATTTAATTATTTTATTTCAATTAAAGGCTTGTCACTTTGCAAACTAGATTTTAATACAGGCTCCAAACGACGAAACTTCCAATACAAGTGGTGTTGCCAGATCCATGGTGCATGTGCTCTTCATCCTAAAAGAGCCGGGTGAAATCCGCCCCCAAGCAGTCATTTGACACCACTTTTGTGAAAATCGGGCATACTGTCCTTACGCATACTGTTCTTACGCAGCGCGCACTTTTCCGAGACGGGTCAGCCAAAAATATATACTCTTTTTCCACTGCGGTGCTCAATGCTTGCGGGCAGGCACGCATGTAACCTTGAATTTCAAATGACCGTATCAACAAAACTATACGTCTGATTGAGTTCAACATTCTCATGTAATGATAAGGAGTGTCTTTACATGCATGCCAAGTTTAAAAATTGAGCGAGGCACGGCTGAGTTTTACCCCCCCCTCCCCCCCGCGGCTGTGAGATAAATAACTCGGCTCAAAATAACCCGGTTCTTTTAGGGTTAAGCCCCACTACCGACTGTTTCAGAACTGTTTTGAGCAAATATCCCTTGGGATCGTTTGTAAGCAGTGCTCAAGTTGCAGTCAACATTACGCATGAACAGCTAAAAGCAAACGCCGTTTACTGTGGGATGGTCAAGCGCAAACTGCATTTTCCTAATACGGAATAGTGCGCCTCACTGGCCTCCATTCTGCCCGTGAAAAGTGGACAGTGCACTGACCTCTCCACGGGTTCCAGCCTTTTAACTTCCCTTGGGTCCAGTTTAGAGACTAATGAGAGCCAGCCTTCCAAACATCCCTCTTGTTGGCTCCACGATAACTCCTTCGTTAGTAGGCATAAACGAAAAATTGATACTTCACTGTTTGAAAGCTGACTACAATTTGTAACACGTGGTAAATTATTCTATCGCTTTTTGTACTGGTGACCAACCATAGTTTTACCAGCGTTTGTGGACAAAAATTCTTATTGTGACGTATAAGAGCAGACCATATGCATTAGCAAGTTTCACTGAAACCGGACAAAGCATGAAAAAGGGTCAGTGTAATTCCTACACGAAAAGCTGAACATTACGAGAAGGCAGTGCATCCAAATGTTAACAAATTGGTTTCAACGTGTCCTTGAGATCTTACACTGATTAAAAACTAAAACCCACGAAACGGTGTGGCTGTGACATGGAACAATGCGAGAGGGCCGGATTCCTTTTCAGGGCTTAACCCTAAACTAATTGTTGTAGAGTTTTTTACCATCTCAGAGCCGGGCGGATGGATTCTGTTAATTCGGCTGTCCAGTGCCCGATTTTCTACAAACTTACTCTCATTATCAACATGGATACAAAGCTTGAAACCAATCCGATGTACATTGTACGGAAAAAGGTGTCCATATTTAGCTGACCTGTCTTAGAAAAATGGATGCTGCGCGAGAACCCTGTCTGATTTTAACAACACTGGTGTCAAACTGAATAGAATACATAACTGAAAAACTTCTGAGGACCCGATGCGAGGAATAATGAAAACCTACGAAAATATAAGGACAAATATGTGGCGGATTTCGCCCCTAAGCTGGGCCAGCCCACTGGGGTTAATATTGTTAACATTTTGATTACAGAGCGCCCTCTTTTAGAATTAGAAGTGGTTGTGACCATTGCCATCATTCGTGTTGAAAAGTTTTTTCTTACAAGGAATGTCAACAACCTCGTTCCCAGTCTCTCAACTAGGTTTTTCGTCCCACCCCCCTTTAATTTTGTTTTCTACAGAGCAGATTTAACGAGGTGAGGTGCCGGTATAATCTTCTGTGATCCGCAGCTGTTCAGAAACATATCGAGTCTAATCCTACGCCAGCAGCACAGTCGAGCAAAGAAGGCAAAAACATCAGCATAATATGAGCTGATTTTATAAGTTAAGGCTGAGGCTGCGTTTTTGTCTAGGCGGTTAGTATCAAGATTGTATTCTGAAACATGAACCCTGGCGACCTGTTAATCATGGGTTTCTCAGTACAAAACAAACTCTTTAGACAAAAACTAGAACGACCACAGCTATGAAGCACAGATGGCCTCATAAGCTGTACAGCCAAAAATGCAACAGTCTGGTGCCTTGGACGTCAACATATCCTTTGCAGCTGTCTGCTGTAGAATATGAGGCATTCACCGGGATGCAGGCGTGCGCAGACGTTCTTTCCCAAAGCCTGAACGGAAGATGTTATGTCAATTAATATTCCCTGTTGGCCCTATGCTTATCACCCCGTCTTTCGCACCTCTGGTCCCTGCCAATTACTCATCCAGCCCCGAGCCAGCTGTGTGTGTTTGGCTTCTGCCGCTGACGATGATTAGGCCTGCCGGCGGCCATTGTCCGGAAGCATTTACCAAGTTTTCTCCTTGTTTGGACGGGCGGAGGAGCGCCAAGCGGCCCGTCTGGATTCCAGTTGCGCCTCAATTCATTACAGAGCATGGCTGACATCTTCGCTGAACTTGGCGGAATTATCAGTGATGTAGATTAAAAACTCATTGTGTAGAATAAGTCATATAATATAAATCTAAAGACTTACCCGAGGTATGTAACTGAATGTGTACTGTGCTGACAGTCAAATTCATAACATTGAGCTTTATGAAACGACAGAAGAGTTATTCGAGTGATGAAACATTTAATTTTATACGGCACTAAAATTCAAAACCAGTACGATCATGGAGGTAGGTACGATTTAGGAAAATAAGTTACTTTCAGGCTGCGAGTCAGAAATGTTTTGACAGTCGTCACGTTCCGACATGTTCCTCACAAATTCGACGATCATGAGATAGCAACAGCCTGATTGTTTAATCGATGTAATATATTTTGAATGCGGGTGTAAGACATGATCCGATCTGATTTCTTCTGAAATTGAGGTAGAGAAAGCATTGAAAAAGAATTGAAATGAAACTGTTTCGGGGGGATGATCGATCTTTTCAATTAAACTTTACTCACTAATGTAATTTTAAATCGGAATAATAAGTAAATTTTCACTGTCACTTTTACAGAATAAAATTAGAGCTGATAGTGCAAAACATGCAAAACTATCTACAAGTGAAACTAGTTTTTGCCAACTTCAACAATTTCTCGAGAGAGGAAAGCAGCACAGAGACAACTAAAAACAAAAATCATACCCACGCTGTACAAAGATTGACGCCAATCTCACATGGCTGGGGACTGCAAGAGGAGGCATAAAAATTAGGTACCCGCACAAAACCCTCATTTTGGCCCCGCGTCGCCCAAGGTCGGCTGCTGGGCTAGCGTGATACCTTTTGAACGATTCCGTCCTGTAAGAGCCTTTTCAGAAGATGCCCTTTCAGCCTGATCTTTAGGCTCGAACGCTTGCAAAAAAAATCAAGAATAGCCGCTGGAGTAGGGTATTCTGCAAATTGTGCCTGGCTACGGAGGGTTTTTGTTCACCTGTGCAGATATGTAGCAGTACGGCAGCAACTTCGTCATTCTGTTTTTATTCAACTCTGACGAAACACTTGTACCCCGCATGATTGTACTAACGGGAGAATGGCATGCTGATATATAGTGATTTACAGGACTGTGGTCAAAATGTGACACAAAATGTTGCATTACAAGTGAGCCTAATTTTAAGTGTATTTGTAATTGTAATGACAACCGCAAAAATGAAAATAAACTATTCACGGCAGCGAAAGCACAGTCATAGGCTATGAACCATTAGTAAAAGTTACTACCAAAGTTTGTTTACATACCTGATGGCACTCGGCTTGGGCGGAGTGGCTGAGCCTTTTGCTGTGGGTTTCCAGCTCATATCGAACTATGGACGCAGTATTCCAAGTATGAGATATTTCACAAGAAGGCGGCAGAGGGATCTGTCGTAAATCTTCACAACTTTATTGTCACGAAGCAAATCTCGGTGCGCTGTGTGTTGGACTCGAGCGCAGATCCCAGAAAGTTACAGAATTGTAGGAACGATGGAGAAATCCACTTTTTTCAGGAAAAAAGACTGATTTCGTAGATCATGAATCTAGAAGCATTGAATAACAAAGTGCAGGTGTTTTGCTGACTACCAGTCCTGGAGTTAAAAGCGACCAGTGGGCGGCCTAGTCGTGGCGAGTGCCCCGTTGAGAAAGGAGCAAGGGTCCGGTTTGATGTCTGTTTCTTTTGACAGCGAGTGTTCCTGTTGCCCACACAGGCCCGACGGGCGAAACAACTTATCAGGCCCATCCCACCACTGCCCATTATCCAATAGGATCTTTTCTCAAGGAGCGGAACGTGGAACACGTTTACGGTGTGGGTATTGTTTTTAAAGGAGCAAAGACCGGCCTTGGTTTCTTTCTAAACCCTCCTTTGATCACATGCGTGCATTACCTTGGCAAAAGGAATTCTACAAAGCTGAACCCAAAGACTTAAAATATGTATTTCTGTTTTATTCCAAAAAGGAATCACTCGACAAATGATGTTATTTTGAGGAAGGAAAACCCGGGTTTTACCAAGGCGTATCGTACTATAGTTTAATGCCTTCGCGCATGCGCGTTTTGTTCACCATTGATCGAAGGTGTATAAGAAAGATACCCCAAGATCACTACCTAATATGAATAAGCATGCATATTTAAATCAATCCAGAGAAGAATAGCCATTTGGCATGAACTGCGACACACGGGCTCACGACAGAGTGAGAGCTTTAAAGGGCAGCTGCATTCAGTATACACCTTCAAAATGCACCTTCTTGTCTCAGTTGAAGTTGAACTTATATTCACCTTTTGTTTCATTATTTCAAAGTGTATTTACAGACTTTGTGGTTTTATGCAAATGATATTATCATTCATATTCATAAGCAAAACTGTGACGTCATCCCACGAAGAAAGTCTCGATGCTGCATTTGGTTGGTGCACAAAAAAGCCCTACATTTTTGTAGATTTGCTGTCGATTGTTTATGTGCATAGCAATAAGCAAGCATCGATCTCTTTCTCAGAAATGTTTTCAGTGGGTAAATTCTGGGTTCACAATTTGAACAGAAAAACCTATGCACTGAACTTTGTCTTCCCTGGATGACATTATAACAACAGCAACCCCAGTTATTCAGGAAAGCATGGATAATTTTAAGTGTTTCAAAAATGCACTTTCAATCTTGAGAATGTAAGAGAGTTTTCATACATTGAAGAAGAGCCTTCACTTTTAAGTATGGGATATTGCCAAAAGTGGCCTTAATTTGTACGTGATTGTTGTCACCTTGAAATCTAGTAATGAGTGTTTTGGTTTAACTACATGCACATGTACGTGTATCAATTGTGCTTTCTAATGTAGGGAGAAATACAGCTATTCAGAATGCATTACTCCAGATCTTGCGCCTTTCACTATGTGGGGGTGTGTTGGCACTGCGTATAAACCGTGAGCACAAGGGGAGAGACGTCTGAGGCAACTTACGCAGAACGCCAATGTTGCTTCAATAACATCGTGAAACTGACTTTCTCACTTTTAACTCCCAAGGGTCCAGCACTGATGCATCGGAAACGCTTGTAGCACCGTACCTTTGCCCCACCATTTAGATGTCACCAGCACCAGTGTAATCTCTCTTATTCCTCCATGGCGAGACAGATGTTGGAGGGGGTAAAAAGTCGGCATGTTTTGTGTACTAGACGGCTCCTCTGAGGGAGTCATTACGCACTGATATTAAATGGGTGTGAATGAACAAGGAGATGTTAATGGCATAATTCTTTATATTAAAGTTAACTCCACTGGACTCAATTTTATGATGGGCTGTTTTGACAAAAAATTTCTTTGACAACTTTTTAAACACTAGGTGTGCTATCATTCCTTCCATTTTACAATTGATGTGGAAGATTGTTGATGTCTTACTAATGATTAGTGTAAAACAATTTAAAACGAGGCACATACGACAGTCAACTACAGATTGTGTAAACTGAATAGGAGATAATAGCAATATAGTAATAATTATTACAGTTTAATTTTCATTATCACCTATAAAGTGCCAAAACTGAGTAAATTAGTAAATAACTTGGTTGGCTCCAACTTCTTTATGTATGTCTACAAACAAGCTACGAAGTCTTCATAGCAGAAAATCTAGTGATGAGCGCTTTTGGTATACGGAAAAATAAACTTGGGGATGGAAAGCCACCAAGTATACCCCTTTAACCGCGTTTTCATCGGTTTTGAAATTGACGAGAGGTAAAAAGTTATTACTTATCCGCATTGCCCTCTTTCCTGGTCGTGATTAGGCTGCGCAGGGCTTGGAACTCCGTCATGGTCCTGTGGTGCGACTCTTCCAAGCTGCCGCCCAGGTCGTTCAGATGCTGCATTACTGTCTCCATGGAAACGGCGTCATCGTCTACCCTCTTCCCGCCGTCGTGATGACCCGGCCAAGTTGATCCGTCGTGTGGTGGCGCTTCACTAACTGACTGCAGAATAAGCGTGGTGCCAATTTGCTAATAATCCAGTGATAAAAGAAATATAGGTAGAAGTTAAGCAATATTATATTCTATAAGGATAATTATTTCACTCATTTGAGATTCTTTCTTAAGGTTTGCACAATGATACCTCGCAATATTACGCCCCACAAATCAAAAAAAAAAGTGAGATTGATATTACTTCTTCTCCTTGCTGGAGATCATCATCCTCTATCCCAAGGCTTCTCTTCAAGAGTTCGTGCATAATCTCCAATCGCCTGGCGACATCTGTCAGCATAATAGCCGTGTTGTCGGCAACAAAATCCTTCGCCCACCCGTCATCTGCGATCAAAGAAATATTAAACAATAATGCCGGTGGACCAACACGTGTGGTACCCCACGACGGTAACAATAACCGTGCTCCCGGCACTCACGCGAAATACCCTACACGTTTGTGCGCATTCAAATGAAAAAAAATGATGGAGTATAGTCCAAGGCGCGCGTGAACTGTTGCTCCTACGTTGTTGTTTTATTCGTCCCCGCACCCTTACAGGACGCTATGGGATAAGCTCATGCTCTTCTAATAACTTCGAGAAGGAATTACATAAAGTCATACAGATATTAATTCTTATTCCCTTAGATAAACATAAGCTACATTCTGCGCTCACGTCCGTGTCGTGACGCTTTCGGAAACTTTCGCAAGCGTTACTTTTCAAAGTCTACCCAATGAGGAGCCGAAAATAAGTCACGCAGTCCGAAGAAGTATTTTCCCAACCGAAGCTCCTTCTCAGATTGGTAGGGACAAGCAATACACTCGGTGTGTTCAATCACTGGGGCCAATTTCATAGAGCTGCTTAAGCATAAAATCTGCTTAAGCGGGAAAAAACTTTGCTCAATAAACAAAGGTTACCAGCTCAAACTGTATCTGATTGTCATGCTAACCAAAAACAGCTAAATACAATCCCAGAACGATATACATCACATGGAGTTTTGGCTGGTTACCTGATTTATCAAGTAAGGTTTTTTTGCGCTTAAGCAAATTTTGTGCTTAAGCAGCTCTATGAAATCGGCCACTGGTCTCTCGAATGAGCGATCAAACAGAGCTATCTTTTGATACTGCGCGACGTACCAATAACAGCTGACGGACAGAAAGACCGACAGTATGTGGATGACAACAGAGCTGTAGGCAATTATACCAGCAGACGTATACGTGTAATCAGTTGACATTAGGCCTACTCACCAGCAGTAAACAGATTTTTAAAAATTACAGTCTAAAGGTTTTGTACAAGGTTTTTATGTATAATTTCAAATCAAGAGGAAGTATATATTCTTTCTTATGCCTGGTTTGGCTTTTTATGGGAATCGAAATGATATTCTGAGCCAAACAACCTGTGCAAAAACGGACAACTTAATAGTCACCTTGTGTCTTTCTCTTTCTGATTTCCCTCCACTGCGTGAGCACCTCATAAAGTTCGTTGACCAAGCGTTTCCTCGTCCTAGCGCTCCTCATCATGATCGGGTGAAGAAAACGCCGCATACGGCGGCGAGGTGAGCTGTCGTGGCCGCTGCGCTTGAACCAGTACAGGCGCCAGGTAGCTTGAATGCAGCGAGCGGCACGCTGCTTTACCTGATCGGCAAAATCTACCAAAATGAAGCATCACAGACAGAGAAATGCACCATTTTGAGATTCGAATACGTGTATCGCATTGCATCTCAGTAGACCCTAGATAATGCAGACATTTCAGAAGCTCGCAATTAGTATTTGGCACTTCAAGCAAAGCTCCCCTACACAGCAAGGCACAATAGAAACAACAACAACAGCAACAACAAACAACAACAATAACGGGTAATTCTTCTAAATTTGTCAAAATTAACACATTTGAGTAATCTAGTTAGCTTTGGAGTGACACCCTGCATTTTAAGGAATGCAGGGGTAAGTGAAGCAAGTTCAGAGGACGCATTTGTACATACACTATACAATTTTTTTTTGACACAGCAACAGAAGTGTCCGGTAATAAAACTCTACCTACGATTACGAACATGTCTACGTCGTGAAATGTCTCTTAAGGTTGTTTTGCAGTCAGTACGGTTTGGCCGAGCTCATTCTCAACCCACCCTGCCGTTCCACGTAAGCCAGAATCCGCTTCTCCTGTTGTGACATCTGCAGTGTTTCGTGGGTCACGGTAATCAGCAGCGCCATTAGGAATATGCCAAACACGGACGACATACCAACAAAGGCCCTTGCCATAACTGAATCTGGAACCACATCACCGAAGCCAAGAGTCGTCATGGTAACCACTTGCATCCAAATCACATCCTTTCAAAAGAATAAAAAGAAGGGTAAGTATATAGCTAAATATCTCCGTTTCCGCTGCACCCATTTCGTTGTACATTCCAGTCCATGGAAGTATCAAGTTACCACTTTTCTTTGATAAAAATAGTGTAATGATCGGTCAGCGATGTAAGATTTATAAGGCACTATATAAAGTATTGTTTTCTGTGATGAGTTTTATTCTCAAACGTCGCGATTTAACATTTGTGCAACTGAAGTTTCTGATCAACAATTTCATGCAGTTACATTATTTTTATCTGATCTGCCTAATAGTCGCAACAGGAGTTGCATAGTTTTGAGGGGTTCTGTAAACAGTCACCATTTTCAGCGGAATTAAGTTTACTGCATCCTTCTCCTTACGAGTAAAGGGTTGTAATGCGAAGGACTGAAGCGTCTGTCGATCGAGAACACGAGGTACCCGACTCCGAACAGGTTGAGACAGTAGCATATCCCGACCATACGGAAGGGCCATTTGAGGAAGAACGTCTTGACCAGGAACCCGGCCCCTAGTTCCGTCTGCAGCACCGATGCAAGGAACCGTGTAGACTTGCTGAAAGCCATGTGGTTATGTTCCCTCATGTAGCGAAAGACAAGGTAGAGCCGCAGGAAGGAGGTGAGCTGCAGTTCGTTGGGTAAGAAAACCTCGGTCAGGGGAGGCACGTGGAAAATGCACAGGACGATCTCGGCCAGGAAACGCCAGCGCTCCGGACAGGTGAAGACCGTGGCGCCCAGGGGGAGGTGGTGCTTAATGATGAGGAAGCGGCAGTGCTGGTGGAAGTACAAGTACAAGAGAACGCAGGTCAGGACGGACAGCAGAGATATTCCGGCCTTGAGGCAGATCGCTAAAGCGCCAGCTTCGTTGGAAACCGGATAGAAAAAGGCTGTTGAATTGGAGGTGTTTGCGTTCACGCCGTGTGAGTAGCTGTATTCAAGATCTGTGATGCCTAGTATTACTGCGAGGATCGAAGCAGCGCACAGGAAAGTCGACAATTTCTGGAGACGGAGCTTCAGTTCCGTCTTTGCTGCCTCGATGTTGCGAAACTCAAGGAGCTGGTGTTGGAACACCGTCATTCGTCTCTCCTGCAACCTCTCCTTGGAGCCTTTGGGCCATAAGACGTCTTCTGAGGCCCTGGACTCCTCCAGGAGATGGTCTATCCTCTCGTCTATTTCTCTTTTAGAGTCGGCCGCGGCTTGTGGGTTCATGGCGGCCGAGAAGAGCGGTTGTGGTTCGGTGTTCCGGATGCTGGTGATGCTGAATACTGGCGGTGGCCGGTCGGCCAGGGAGATGGTCCTGGATCGGGTTTTTCCCGTGCCCTGACACTTCATTTGATCCATCCGGCACAATTCTTCGTGAATGCTGCCACGGTGCATCGTGTGATTGTCTTCCACGTCAAGGAAGCGGACGCTCTTTTGGCGAGCGGCGTTCGGGACGGAGGCTGTTTTTTCATGTGTTTCCTCGTTGCTCGAGTCATCGTTCGTTTCATCGTCTGCAATGTCAGCGCTATCTAAAAAAGATAGGCAGGAAAACCGTAGCCGTTTACTTGAGGTTATATATTTTTTTAAATCAGGCCATGAAGACACCAGTAACTTAGCAAAATTCACAGTCGATTTGGAAATTCTTTGCATAAATTTATATTCATCGCCCCGGTTCTGCGGTCATAACTCATTTGTCGTACTGATTGTGCTTATTGCGTCCGATCTGCTGCTGTTAAATTTTCCAGCCTACATTTAATATGCACTGCCACTTTTGGCTAGCCTATGCCATGCCAGCTCAGATCACCTTAGCCTACACATCATAATTATGCCTACCATCCGCCACTCTTAATGAACGGAACATAACAGCTTGTGGGCATGTCATAATGTAAGAAAGAGTGGAAGCCAACCTGCGCTAGCTTTCCCACTCCATAATACGACAGGCCTATTTAATAACTAACTCATAGAGCCAGGTATTGCGACCTTTTACATACGCGGCGTTTCTCATCTCTCCACCGCGAATTTTGTTCACAAGACGGCAGGTCTTGGTGTAGGCCCTTATTTTCATAATTTTTTTGGTTGGGAGAAAGAAGGAGGAAGCTGTCTCGCTGTGGAAAAATTACATGCTCGAGCTTATGAGGAGTTAGGCTACTTATAAAACTTAAAACTGCTGCCAATGGATAATACAAAATAACAACATTTTAGCTTACTCCACCTAAGAAGAATGAACCTACCCTGACTTGGAGCTTCTTTCACAAGTATAATCCGAGGATTGTTCACAGATGTCATTTCATATTCCAGTCGATATTTCCAAAAATCAGTAGGTCTAAAATTATTTGACTAGGGCCTAGGACTACAACAATAGTGGACCACGGATTTGTAAATCACGGGATTCCGCTCAAAATAACAATGCGCTAAAGCATACTGGATCACTGACGGTTTCTTCAAAAGGGCTCACAGTTCACTGTTGTCACTCCAGAGACGATGATTGACGAATTCCGTTATTTATTTTCCATAGGCCACAAAAACACTTTATGCCGCTCACTCATGTCGCTGCTTGAATATCAAAACACACGTAAGCACGACAGAAAGAGTTACGTTTGAACAGGCGCGCGCTGCCTTTCCATTTTGAAACACGCGCGCGCACCCGCTCCAACACACACGTGCACGTGTGGGTAGGCATTCAACGCTCTCAGGGGACAAGAGTTCTTTTATTAGGGAAATTTAAATCGAGTTGTGGGAACATTTCTGAGTCTCCACAACGTATTTGGTCCCCACAAAATAGGTGAAATGTCGAGTGTACGTCCCCACAACTTCGGTGCGGGAGGAGGTGTGCTTTCTTATATTTTGCCATGACGATGGGCTGGCGTAGATTCTAGGCATGCCGGGAATAATAATCTTTTGCCCTTTAAATTAATTGTTGACCATCTTTCTTAAGCTATTTTGACTTTTACTCAGTGTTCATGAAACGTGCCAAGTTTAGGAAGACACTCGACGTCTCGATTAGCATGCTCTGATCCTCTTCGAGAAACTGCCAGATATGAAAGCTGTAGGCCTAATAAGGACATACACAGATGGTCGGTGATGCGAGTGAAGTGTTGGGACGACTGGAGCCGGGGACCCGTCAATGACCAAGATCCAGATGTGAAATAATTAGGCCTCGTGTTATTGTTCAGATATTAAGCTCTATTCATATGAGTGCTCAATAAAAATTATGTCCTTCTTATCGCCCTTAAAAGGCGCATCCATCAAATCGCCAGATTTCTGCGCGCGAGCTCATTAATATTTTGTGATCCACAGTAAGAGGTGCCGTAATCGGAACTAATCGTAAAGATATTTCTCAAATAAATTTGGGACCTTTGGCTTCCAACTCAGTTTGAAAGTCTGCATCACGGACGTCACACCATACCGGCGCACGCACGTCTCATATGTTGCGCAAGGGGAAATTAGTCCGTCTGAAGCATTTACTGCTCCAATTTCTCTCTCTTTTTTAAGGGGAAATTGATGAGAAATTGTTCGGACTTGCACAGCCTTTCTTCCTCTAGTTGACGCTACTCAAGCTCTGATATGACTTGAGGCGTTGTGACCAAAGTTATATCAATGTTGTGATAAGCTTCAGCCACCCAGCTCGATTCTGGGCAGCATGGACGGCCTGGTTGTGTTGAAGGCCGATGGTGTGAAGGTCGTCTTTGACTTGGGCGATGTGGTTGCGGCGAAGGCTGCTTCCTTGGCGAAAGGGTTCTGATGGTTGGTTATATAGGTCCAAGAAGATAGCCAAAGGCACCTCCGGTCTTTGAAAGGCATGGCCGATTAGACGAAGACGGCTTTTTAGCAGGGTGGTGGTGGCAGCTGTTACCAGTGTGCGAGCGGCGTTCAGGTCGATTGAAGACAGCCGAAGCGAAGCGTCAAGACGCCTGTCCATGGTTTCAGTGATCACCAGGGTGTCGTAGCTTTAGAGCAGAACTGTCTCGACTGTTGATTTAAAGAGCTGCATTTCGACACTGTCGCAAGCTGCTCCGTCCCAAACAGATGTAAGTTTTTGGGCTGCGATCCAGGCCAACTGTCGACGCCGTTGAATGGCGCTTCGACTATCTGGCACGTTGCAACCAAGATCCTGGCAGGCCGCAGGGGCGAGGTTGGTTGTTGTGCGGATGATAGAATGTGGAGTGTCTCTGACGTACATGACCTTTGCCGTGCTGGCATTGAGTCGTAGACTCATGTACTTTGGCTGATGCTGTCTCAAAACGGTGTACATGTGGTTGGCATTGTGCTGCCTCTATCATCGGACCTGGCGCAGCATCGTCGGCATATGCCAGTACGGTGACACTATAATCGCGTCGACGAAGGTCGTGGGTGTGCCGTAAAATGACAGAATTTCTCTGCAGCTCCAGCGCAGCTAGAGTACCTTTCAGTCGTAAGTTTCAATTTTTTTGTACAAAAATCATACCAATCAGAATAGGCCTAACTTACAGTGACCGATGTGAAAGTGATTTTAAATACATTTACTATACTTGGCATATAGTGGGTGTTTTATTCATTGGTTTTGATAAAACAACTAGTTGTCCAAGCAAACTGTATAAGCCTATGGTCGGTTTCCTGTCAAATTTCGGAACCTACCGTGCGTCGTCATTATTAGTAGGATCTTTTTATTGGAAACTATTCAGTTTAGGTATTTGCCCTCCTTTTTTCATTGACATTGTTTGTTTTGATTATTTATCTTTATGTTTAGAACTTCAAGAAACAAACACTTGAGGACTGAGACGTATTCACTCGGCAAAGACAAATAATTTGTGGAAGCCGTGATTGCATGTTCGCAACACTGGCTACAAGGGTGCGTCCATGCATGATGAGGCCGTGTCAGGAGCAGTTGAAATAGGGTTTTGTTGAATTGGTTAATCTGTCATTAAGATAATGGGTATTGTTGCTAATTTGAAACAACCTTTGGGGAAAGTTGTTTGATTTTGATTTTCATGATCAATCTTCTAAGCACGAGCGTGGAGGATCAACTAAAATCAAAGTGATGTTGCCGATGCATAATGTCCTAAATTTTGCCCACGTGTGAGATTGTTAGCTTGTTTGGTCTATTATGCCAATCAGTGTCCATACTCATTTAGGTTGTAGGTATACATAACTTTTTAAGTAAAACACTCCTCTGCTTTTACTCTCTCGGAATTGTGTTATTGTTTCAGTATATTGTCAACTCTGGAAACACCCGTTTTTTTATCATGTTACAGTTAGTTTGCGAAGACATAATTTAAATATGTGGAGAGGTTTTCTCTAATTTATCAAATTCAAAGGTGTTTATTTTATAGACATGCGGTCTGTAATAAATTGAGAAAAAAACCTTGTTCCCGATCGATACAATGTGCCTTTTGTATATACATGTCAGGGTCTATCAACATGTATTGTTCTTTACGTCATAAAGTTTTGCTTTTCGTCCCTTTTAAGAAAGAAAAAATGACTTAAAAACAACCATACTCCACAATGAATTTCCTCTATTTTTCAACCTTATTCTACATTTTTTTAAAAAGAACTCTTACCAATAATTTGTAAACTCTAAACCAACTACGAAGATTGCACTTATTCCCTGAGTAAACTCATTTAACTGAATTTTTAAGAAATATTTATCTGCAGGAAATAGGCTTAGGCCTACTTTCATTCATACAGTTCTGAATTTCAGGAATAATACAATTAGAAAACAGCCCAACGGACATTACGACTATTACGAACTCATTTGTGTCTGCAATATATCTGTCAAAATTCAAACAAACCCCCTTTCTTTTCGTCCCATCCCTTTAACATCTTTGTTAAAGAATATTTCTGAGATAAGACATTTGAGATTGATTTATACGACATCCGAACATACCCCTATGTTATAAAATGCGAATGCTCCAATTCCCACAAACCCTCACCGCCAGCTGTCTGATTTCCGAATCCTCACCATGCGTAAGCGCACGCGTTCCTATCCAGTCTTTTTGATGGAGATCAATGTTGCTATCGACTATCGTGGTATTCGAGGAAGGGAGGATATGTTTTCGAGGTTAAAAAATGAAATTCGAAAGAGAACTGATCTTGTTGGCCATAATTTCGAATCATGGGTTGTTTGATTGTTTTTAATGGGCGTAATGCAACAAGGCACCGTGCACAGGACGCCTGAAACAAACTATCGGACCGCGGACTGTACACAGGACACTGTGACGGCCCTGGACGGACATCGCCATTCGTCAATATTGACACCAATGTTATCCACCAAATTCACAACTCCCTCTCTGGTCGCGAATATAGAGCCTGGAAGTTGACTCCTGATGGTGCGTTTCTGGATCCCTTGGAGAGAAAAAATAACTTGCAATTATTTTAGAATTTGTAAACTTTTTTTCGTTCTGTTACTTCTTAAAAACTCTACTCTTAAAAAGGCCTTTTTCAAAAATAATTGCTATCATATCAATTAATGGAAATTGAAAAATGACCTGACCTAAAAGAGAAATATCCTGCCAAAAATTGATCTCTCACTTCCGAAACGTTAATATTGACGGGAATATTTGCGACCAGAGAGCGAGTAGTGAATTTTGGTCGTGAATATTGATGGCAATATTGACGATCGGCGATGTCCCTCCAGGGCCACCATATAGACTCAGAGTTTGGGCGACTTGTTCTCGTATGCTCACGAACAGCTCGATTTGTTGTTTTGAGGTACATTCCACCAAATTGTTGTATTTCTGCGCGCGAGGGCATTAATATATTGTGATCCCACTGGGCCCAAATTGCTGCCCTGTTTTGGATAGAGGCGGGCGGCTATACATTCAGAGCTGAATGCAAAGTCTTACTGCCATTTTGGGGTATCTTCGGGGAAAGGCAAAAAAAATTCGTGGCTAACCCCCATAAAGTTGAAAGGAAAGGTGATCTTCTGGCCACAATCTTGAATTTTATCAGTGGAAATCGGAGGCCAACATCTTCCCGAGAGTCAACAGGCGGCGATTTTTCTGTCCGATTTTGCACTGTTTTCTCTGAGCGCATATTTGGTGTAGTGCAACCTTTGAGTGGGTCGGCCACTCGGGACGACGGGAACGTACAACCAGTTATCGGTTAAGTTAGCGGCAAGAAACATGCAACATGGCGGCGTCCATGTACGTTCTTGGAGTGTTAATGTGTGGAACCAGGCTGAATTCTGTTCTATTTAAAAAGGAACATTTATTTCTGAGATATGGAAAATTATTAATGCTAAGTTTACAAAACTCCTCATTTTCTCCGGCTTTTTTAAGCCATCTTGCTATTTTGGGGGTCTCTTCGAAAATTAAATCTCACGAATTTTCCCGTATGTTCCTGTAAAAACCTGACGAGGAGGTGGTATGTGATCCTGCTCCGAGAACAGTGTTCTCGAGTTGCTTCCCGCTGATCGAGCACAAGAACAAGAAAAACCCGTGCAAGATTGCCTGTGGGCCACCCGAACTCGACCTTTAGGGGTGCACCCTCGTAATTAGGCCAGAAATATGTCCGCCGAGCTCATTAATAAAAGTTATAAACCTCAAAATATCCTATATTAGAGGATCCTGAGAGCCATGGAACTGGGGAATTGAAGAAATATGAGACTGGACCTCTGGGCCAGACTCAAGGCTTCCAATTCTGAGCAATTTGGA